TTTTAGTCATTAATTCACATTTATTTTTCTTCACTACCCTTTCAAAGATATTCTTTAATGCTTAATAATTTGAACACTGTTTATTTAGTAATCGCAACAATTTTTTTAATGCCTATTATTATTTCAGTGTTTATTTTTCCCAAATATTTAACCTACTTCCCATCATTAAAAAAGAAACACTAATCCATGTCCTTATGCTTCTTATCACATCTAGTACACCTGTCATCACATTGTTCATTTGCACTTTTACATAATCCTTTTACACATGGTTAGCTGCTTTGATCAAAACAAAATCATATGTATATATATATATATATATATATATATATATATATATATATATATATATATGTTTTTGTATTTCACAGTAAATCTTGATGAGAATTGAATTGAAAACAATATTATTCGATTTATATATTTGTTCACACTTACAAAACTATTTTGTTCATTTTTAAAAGCAACAAAGAATTTCTTTTTGATCAACATTTTTTCTGAATATCTAAACATCAGTCTTATTTATTGATTATCAATCAGTGTGATTTTACGCGAAATCGCTCAATGAAACCATTACATTCATATGAAATAAATAATATGAGGATATATAGATGTGTATTGTAAAGATTAATATTTCACAAGGAAAATAGTAGCCTAAAATTTCCAGCGATCGATTTCCAATATACAATGTTCATGGTAAAGTTTCTTTCATTAAGATTTATTATACAACGGTTAATTTGGGCGAGACAAACTAACCGCTAGCCATAATAATAATAATAATACATGTCCTATAAACAAACTAGTATATGTTTCAAAGTTCATGCTTGTTTTGTCTTAATGCGAAGTAAATAAAACAAATCGCGAGTATTAACAAAAAAAAGAACATACATACACTTACACACAAACATACACACACACACATAACCGTACTTTTCAATAGAAATGTAAACAAAATAATCAATAAACCCAAAAACAAGTTGTTAATAGTATGTAGGTGAATATTTTACCTAAATGAACTTCCTTTTTTTTGTTCAACTGATCATTGTTCAATGTTATGAAATATTTGTTTGTTTAAGTAGTAATTAAACAACAAAACAATTCATAGCACTGAAAAGATCTATCGTTTATTGCAATAAATTTCAGGCATGCTCTACAATAAATGTAATCACTTCAAATTAGTTTATTCATAGTGGTTAAATGAAGAGGTATGAAGTAATTTTGAAATTTAAATCAAATTTTTTAAGCAATATCAGAATTAGACATTAGCACAGTGGTTAGGCGTTCGTGCACAATACTGAAGGTCCTGGGTTCGAATCCTGCCAGGAGCAGGAGTCGTGGATGCGCACCGCCACTGATAAGTCCCGTACCAGGACGAAACGGCTGTCTTTCAGTGCTTCCAGTTTTCTAATGGTGGTCTAACAATGATTGATTGATGATTTCAAATGTGTAAAAACACTAATCTCCATAACTCTAATTGAAAATATCAATATAAACAAAAGAAATTCGTTGAAGAGGTAAATCATCAGATCCCAGTTGGCATTGTATAGTATTGTGTGTACAGAGAAAGTATGTAATATGAATTTTAAAAATAAATTGAAGAAATGTAGACAATGAAAAATAAAGAAAGATAGTATTTACTTTGATCTAGTGTCAATGTTTTTTTTGGATTTTTTCAATTGGACATTGATTCGATGAAAATATTTTGAAAGGAAAAGCTTCTATTGTTAACTCATGACCTTATTAGTAGTTTTACTCTTAAAACTGAAAGTTCTATTCATCCCAAAATCTGTTTCAGAAATGATGTGACAAATGTCAACATAGTTTCAGATTTTGAATTCACATTAACATTCGGACATAAGAAAAAAAATTTAGAAAAAGGATTTTTCTAACATTAATTGTGACTAAAAAGGCGGTTTTTCAATATGCTGTTTGAATTTAGTGGAAAGATTCATATTTGATGCGTCATGCTACATGTCTCAGAAATCTAACTGTGTTGACGATGTAGGGATCTATCAGCTAAAAAATCAAAGCACTTTGACTGACTTAATTACTAGACGATATAGTTGACACCGTAACTAGGAAATTGCAGTAAACCAAATATTGATAATCTGAATGCATAACTAAAATGAATTCTCACTATCTCAGTCAAGCTTTTGTTAAGTTCATTGATTATATCGTAATAAAGTATCCGCCGGACGTAGGCTTAAAGGCTACAGTAAATAAGATGCAACTGTGGGAAATAATACGGTTTTCCGTATCTTATCAGTTTTAAACAAATGGAATGAATCCAAAAGGAATATCTACATCCATTGGCATATCTATTGATGTAAAATGAGTGAACTGTCATGATGTACAGTTATCTATAAAAACAGTAACCACAAAACAATTTCACACCAAGAATAGTACTATCAAATATTTAGTTGGATTGAAACTGTGTATTTGAAGGCAGCTTCTAATTGTGAATATATATATTTAAACAGACTGGTCAGTGATAAAATTACCTTTATTACCAACTCACCACGTATTGTAACTGTTTGATCAGTATACAATGTAAACTGTTAGAGTAGTTTATTCGGTTCTGATGTCTTCTGAAGATAAGTGTCAATTGCGATACTGCATATTTCTGAAAATTTCTCAACTTAATTTTCAGCCAGACATTTACTGGTTACTGCTTCATAACTAACTCATCTATACCTTTACTATACAGAACATTCTCTGACAAACTGACACTCAATTACTTTTATTCTTATGACAAAAGTCAACATGTGATGTATCTTTCTTTCCACGGTATACAATGTAATTTCCAGCAAAAAGGTCTCAATATAGATAACATTGTTAGAAATATTTTTTTTTGGTACAGTTTTTGCTAACATTTACGCATGATTCAAGGAGATGAAATGACAATTTAAACTAACCTGAATGCGCGCGCGCGCACACACACAGACAGATTAAAATATCTACATAAAATTAAAAGTTACTGAAATATTTAAATATTAACTCGACTAGATAGTTATTTTAGTTGTAAATGTCATCAACACGCATACGATTAACAATCAGAATTTCAAGCTAATTTCAGACAATAAACAGACAATCTATAAAAGTCAAACTTATTTTCACAAGAGAAGTTATAAAATGTGTTTTTGATTGTCATGGTTGCGGAAAGATTATTAGTTTTTTTTATTTATCAAGGTTTATCATCTACTTTTTTTTTAATGACAGTATCGCCAAATGAGTGAAAATGTATTCACGCCAAAAAATGTTGCTTTCTCTCAATCATCAGATATGAAAAAAGTTCATCTATGGTTATGTAATTTGTATATAAGAACAGAGTTAACAATGTATAGGTAGAACAGTGAGAACACGTAATTGATCTAAAAAAAAATGCGATGTATTTGCCTGCTATACATTTCGAACAATCTGGTTACACATATTTACTTGTCAAGGCATCTTATATATGAAGAATATGAATATGTGTGCAGAAACAATTTGTTATAACCCTGAATTTACCTTGGTAATCTTTAAGCTTAGGGTAATGTGACAATTTTCCTATCCTTTCTTATTCTTTTCATATTACGTTAATTTTATCTCTCCTTTATTTTGCAGTTATCACCTTATGTCTATTGGAACTTTTATTTAATTGACCTTTTATTCATCTTCACATAAAATGCCTTGACAAATAAATGTGTGTGACCAGATTGTTCGAAATGTATTGCGCGCAAATAGATCACATTTTTCAGATCAATTACGTCTTCTCACTGTTCTATCAAAATTTATAAAAGGGACTAATTGTTTTAAAGTATACTTAATAAACAATGATATAGGCAAGTAGTGTATGCGAATTGTGAAGTATTTTATTATTCTTACTGCACAAGACTATCTGTTATTTGTTCAACTAATGATAAACTGGTGTCTTTAAGAGTTTTTAATGAAAAGTTTACAGTGGAACTACCATCCACTGTTTCACACAATTAAAATATATAGATGTAACCGTTCTGTAAGTTGAAGAGTCATTTTACCCCTGTGAAATCATTCGGAAAATTCTCTTTTTGCGGTGTATAACTAGTCGTGCATTTTCAAACTTCTCATCAACACTTGAAACCATTTTCACAATTCTGACTGGCTGATTCCATACTTGAATATGATATCATGAACCGTTTAAGAAATAATTTATTGAAAAGAACCTAAGTCATGTATATTGAATTATACACTCAGTATCATTTCATTTCATAGCAATTACTTACTTACTTGCGCCTGTTACCCCCAATGGAGCATAGGCCGCACACCAGTTTTCTCCAACCAACTCTGTCCTCGGCTTCCCTTTCCAGTTCTGTCCAATGTTTGTTCATTCTTCTCATATCTTTCTCTATTTCTCGGCGTAATGTGTTCCTTGGCCTTCCTCTTTTCCTTTGACCTTGCTGATTCCAAGTGAGGGCTTGTCTTGTGACACAGGCGCTTTTCGTAGTGTGTGTCCTATACATTTCCAACGCTTCTTCCTGATTTCCTCCTCCACTGCAATCTGGTTTGTCCTCTCCCACAGTAAGTTGTTGCCGATAGTGTCAGATCAACGAATCCGAAATATTTTGCGTAGACAACTGTTAATAAATACTTGTATCTTATGGATGATGACTTTCACGTGGTTCTCCAAGTTTCCGCTCCATACAGTAGAAGTGTCTTCACATTTGTATTGAAAATCCTGATTTTGGTTTTGGTTGAAAGTTGTTTGGAGTTCCAGATATTTTTCAACTGTAGGAATGCAGCCCTTGCTTTGCCGATCCGCGCCCTCACATCTGCATCCGATCCACCTTTCTCGTCGATGATGCTGCCCAGATATGTAAACGTGTTAATGTCCTCCAAGGCATATCCATCAAGAGTGATTTGGTTGTTGCATGTTGTGTTGCATCGGAGAATTTTTCCTTTTTACTTTATGTATGTTGAGAGCTGCTGCTGATTTCATAGTAATAGATTATTATTATTATTATTTTTATTATTATTTTAAATAAACACAGGTATCAGTACAAATTCGTGTTGTATTTTTAAAAATTGGTGAAATCGATACACTGAAAGAAATCTATCACGCTGATGCATTTATTCAAGCTAAATGGCGAGAACCTCGTCTTGACGGTAAAACAGATGAAGTAAGTAAACTTTGAATCAATAATTTGTAATATTTATATTTCAAGTAGGATTATATTTCATCTGAATCAGGAAAGAAAACGTTGATTTTCCTTTCACTAGTACAAACTGATTTTAGACATGAGACAATGCCACTTTTTTTTTCTCTCTAATAAACGCTAAATTATGCATATCTAATAAATACGCGAAAATTAATGATTTATGAACTTGAGATAAAAATAGAATTTATGCAAATTTTACTGCTTCCCTTATTAGTTTTTTTTTCATCAAACAGCCAACATTATTACCATGGAATGAATGACATAGGAAAAAAAAGAAACTAGTCCTAAATTACATAAAATTATATTATATTCATGGTTCAATAAAAAGATTTTTATTATTGTTCAATTATAACAATACGATGTACATGTATTCACTGGTAAACATTTATTCAATGCAATAAATTTCAGTGATACTATTTATCAAACTCAAACGTCTAATCCCATCTGTTGGTTACGGTTTTTTTTGTCAAAATAGAGGACATGCTGGGTGCTTGTGTGACTAGTCGCTGTCTAACTAACTTGTCATTTAAAAAACACAAACACCTACTAGCTTTAGTAATTGGATTTATTACTTTGTAAAATAGTGAATAAACCTTGTACAAAGTGTTCTAAATTATAGTGGTTAGTTTGGTTTTTTATCATTTAGTACTGATCAAATAAATAGTGATGAATTGATTTTTGTTAAAATCGACCTATCTTGAACAGTATTGAATAATTATTCATTAGAAGTGAATTTATGCAACTTCTGATTCAGACTTAACAAATAGTAGAAACAGTTAATTGACAAATAGCAATGTTCATTGCCAACTTTATGAATTTTCATACAATTTTTTTTGTGGCTCACGTGGATGATTGTGGTGGTGTTTCGTTCTTTGAGCTAGATTGTTTGGTTGCGGAGCTTTCATTGTTCTTCTGAACTACATCAACAGCACAAAATTCAGATAGAAGTGAAGTATTAGAATTTCTCCACGTTTGACTCGTAGGATGGGATCAAGAAACAGATAAAAAGGAAGATACAATTAAAACAAAGGTGCAAATAACGACAGGTTTAAGGTCAGCAGAAATCACTTAAGATCAAGGTTTACAGAACAAGTTACGGGTCAGAATTCACTCCAGTCTTCAAAACCAAAACATCCAGCTCATGGAACAAAACACCGCCGCAATTATAAGTTCATAATTATTGTGCTATTTTAGATAGCCGAAAATAACTCATTCATGAATGAAGTCAACAATTTTATATGTGCATTAAACGATTGTGGAAGTTTGTTGAGTGACTTTGAAATCATGGATAGACCAATGTTAGACCATCGGTAGAAAACTGGAAGCACTGGATTTCTGTTTCGTCCTGGAATGGGACTGATCAGCAACGCGCATCCATGAGTCCCGCTATTCGCAGGCATTGAACTCAGGACCTTCGATCTTGTGCGTAGGCGCTTAACTAGGATGAAATGGCCTTCTAGTGTTTCCAGGTTTCTAATGGCGGTCTAACATTAATCGATTCACGATTTCAAAATCGTATATGTTAAAAATCGTGGTAGTTTGCAATTGTTACGGTAAAAATGCTTCAAGAATGTGTTATTGGAAAGGTTATTTAATAAAAGTCAAACAGATTCAAAGATGTCAAGTTGTGATCAGTATATTAGTTAACAAGAAAATGTGCTAAATAAAATGCATGATAGGAAAAATTTTGTCTCATCAACGAAGGCAAAGGCAATAGGAGAGGCAATAAGAGGTTATTAATAACTACTTTTAGTTTCTAATAATCCTACCGCCGAACAAGGTAAACATAGAGGCTGAATATATCCCTTTTGCATACATAAGTTAGGTTTTCTGGAATTGATCCAAATGGCTTCAACTACGTAGACGAGTCGTAATTTAGCTTCTTTCAACAGATTGTTTGAATCTTGAAGTAATACAGTGAAAGCTTCATAAATTTTAATTATGATATTAGTTTAATCCTCGTTGAGATATAACACTATAAATATCACCCATCCATCAGTGAAATAAACAGTGTCAATTGTCAAAAAATGGTGCCGAAAATGTGCAATTATTGCAATATAAATACTTTAAGATTGTGTTATTTGTAAACTGACAAGGTCATTTAATGAAGGTCAGATAGATTCAAAGTACTATGTCAAGTTGTAATCAGTATGATAATAGTACCAAAATTCATGTGTTTAAATCACATACATCTCGATGATATTAATTCCTTCTTAATTTTTTTTATTCAATTACAGAATCTTCGTAAAATAGATTTACAACGTTGTTGGAATCCTCTCATACTTATTGATAATATACTCAGTGAATCTAAAGAACAACATTGGATCATAGCAGAAAGAAATGAACATGATGAAATTTTCATTGTTGAACGTCGCCGGTTAAGAGGTGTATTTTTGGAGACATTAGAATTGAATGATTTTCCATTGGATGTTCAAGTGAGTTAGTTTCAACTAAAATATACATATATATCTATTCACTTTTAGTTCAGTTAATTTATTTGAAATTCAGATATATGAAACTATAAACTATGGTACTAATAAGTGTATTCGTCTCATTATATATATATATATATATATATATATATATATATATATATATATTAGTTGACATTTGAATATTAGTTCAGTTAATTTATTTGTAATTCAATTGGGTTTCAGTCAGATATATGAAACTATCAACTATAATACTAATAAGTGTATTCGTCACATTATAATATGAAGTTATTGCTAAATAAGTTGTAGTGTGTGTACTTTTATTGCGAGCCCACAGGGCTTGTCTCAACCTTTGGAAAAATTAATTAGTCCTCGATTCTCAAGTTATTATTCACTCGTCTTTTGACCTTGTCAGTCATTCGCTGATATCTTGGTTGCCTTTATTCGTGTATGAGCACACCTACTCGCTTATTACATACCTGGCTTACTTTGTCTCACTATAAATGTTTAGTTGTGCTTCAACAAATAGAGCTGGCTCAGTCGCCTTCTCCGTTTATCCTTGCATGCATTCTTTCCATTATCATGTCTACATGAACGATTGCCTGAAATAAACTCGTCCAACCGAATCCATATTTGGCTTCCTAATACCACCCTTCCACAAATAGGGTTCGGTTGAGTATAATGTACGGAAATTGACTGGGATATTTTGTTTCATAGCATACTTAATTACTGATAAATATCAGAGTCGAATCGCGGGCCTCTAACGTGATGAGCCCTATATCGAATCTAACGCAGCCACCAAAAGTAAGTGGAGTAAGGTAGATCATTTGAAAAACTCTTTTTCGATTTTCATTCCCTATATATTTTTGGATTTGGATGAATTTCGGATATATTTCCACTCAAAAAAGCTTGATATTATCAGTAAGTCATGAAATAGATTTGTGAAATTGGTTTTCTTTCTCAAACTTTTGTCAAACGACGATTATGCTGTTCAGTGTTGAACACATTTAAGCCTATTATAATCGATTCAGTGTAGTAATGTTATAGCTAACTGAAATTCGAAATCTGTTAAATGAGTATTTTGACATGAATGACAAACCATCTGATTTACTAATATTGTTCTAGTTATTTATTAACTGCTATAATGTGACCTAAGCTTATTGAAATCTCTGTACATAGTACGAAGTAAAATTTCTCTTTTATCCCTTAATAAGTTCACATATTGCTAGAATAAAACAGTTGGAAATGCCCTTTGCAAAATGAATTTTCGCCTGATTTAACATATGTTAGTAAAACATTTTTTTAGAACTATGTACTTTTTAACCAACAAGCATTTGTTTAAGAAATAAAAGAAAAGAAAATACCACTAGTTTCAAAATAACTATGACACCATTTGGTTATTAAGGTAAAACAAATTCATCATTCATAAATCACTGAACAGTGATCATCATTCGCGCGCCATTTTAATTTAACTTTAAAACAGTCAGTTTTTGTTTTTAAAATTTATTGCTTGACACGTTCTGAAACTGCAAAACAAAGTACAAATTAAATATAATGCAATTTTTAGCAGTATATTCAGAAGTCAGAGTGAACTTGAACATTCTAAAGAAAATTTAAAGTCAAATATACTTTATACTCTGGTGGATTATATTAGTTTCTAAACTCATGAGAGATAATCTCCTCATCTAAGATAGAAAATTCGATTTCATACAAGTAATTGCCTTTATCAGTAAGAAAAACATGAGTAGAAATTTAAGCAGAATAATGTGAATTCATGTTATTTCGTTCAGTTCTTATCATCTGTTTAGAGCTTGTAATTATTGAGATGAAGTAGTTTAGTTGGAACAAATCAACGCTTATAATAAGTAAGCACAAATAGAGTAAAATTTAGTTTGTTAAAATAAGTTTATTATTATTAAGAAGACATTTGCAATTAAAAGACGTAGTCATGTAAATTATTGAAAGGAATAAAATCAAATGACGTAACAAAGAAATATTTATAGAGAAATATTAACAACTGTCCCCTTTGTAAACAAATACATAAATCATGTTCCTGATACCCTAAAAGCTATGTTTAAAGCATACCGAAGCTGCTTCAAAACTTATGAAAATAACTCTTGAACCATTTGTTTATATCGTTTTCAAATATCTTAACAACATTTCATGCCTAAATTTTTATTGACGACATCTAATAGTACTGATTACGACTTTCATTAGGTCGAAAAACTCATTTATTATCCAAAAAAGCAATCCTGAATTAATTCTTCTAGACTGAATTATGCTTATTTATGTAAGATAGATGAGGTTGACAGTGTGATAATTGATCAAGGATGAAATAAAAAATGTCTTGAAATAACGTTCAAAATGCATTAAATTTCATTTCTCAGTTTTCATTCTAAGCAATTAGTCATTAATATTTAGCACGTTCATGATTTTCTAAATCCATTTGACTTCAATGCTGAAATTAGCAAACTGAACTTATATTCTGGTCGAGCATTTTTATATATGTACTAATTTGTTGTTATACATATGGGATAAACACACTGATCACATCACCATGTCAAAATAATACCAGAACTGACGTGAAAATATTGTACGATTCAATTGAAATTCTTAGCCGTAATCATTGATGTTTAAGTGATGTTGTAAAGTTTATCGATTTCTTGCTGGTTATATTAACACAGTAATAGTTAGTTGAATAGTGACATAAAAAGTTATGTTTGTTTGGGTTTTGTAAGGTGTAAACTGTTTTCGAGTGACCTTCCCGTGTGAGAACTTGAAAAACAACACCACGACCATAACATGTAATTTTTGATTTATAAAGTGCAAGGTAATATAAGCTTTAAATTGTGCGAAGTTGGTAAGGTTTATATTCTCTAAACGAAGCTCATTTAAACTTTGATCAGTTAGTTATTGTTACAAACAAAGATGCTTTGAGTTTTAATGTGTACGACGAAAAAAACAACTTTTTGCTATTGGTGTTGTCTAGCAAACATAGTTTATACCTTATTATTTACAAGGATTGTCCATTTTCAGTTAAACGGCTAATTAAAGTTTGATAAATATTCATTAGATATCTGACATGTTTCATTTACAGTTAATACTTTCATTGATTAAATGGTTTTTTGATGGACGTTTTGTTGAATGCTTGGTTTATTTGGCCAAGTGATCAAATTGTTTTTAGTAAAATGTATCTGTCTATAAGTTTCAATCAATCATTCAATCAATAGCAGCATAGAACTACGTACGTACATCAGTTCATGTTGCCATACCACATCAGCACAGAGATGTAATTGTCAATTCAAAACGAATAGTAGTAGATGTAGTTGAGATATTAACAGTAGTCGTAGGGGTTAGGATTACAAGATATTATTCAAGAAGTAGAATCTAGTGCAATAAACTTAAAAAGAAAAAGATAAAGGTGATGAAAAAATAAAAAGTTTAGGATTTGACAGAACACAAAGACTGAGTGCACCTATGCCATTGCGAACGATTTTGAGCCATGTCGTTCAGGGTCTCTAACCACTGATTACTGACATCTCGCGGACCCCAACCAGGTAGTTGACACCTACAGACGTGGCTCAGTTCACTTTCAGTGACTTCATGCATTTCTGCCATGTTTTGGTTTGGCCGCCCTTGGCTTTCGTCCAACCAACCGCAAAATAAGTTTCACTGATGCATATTCACATTCAGCTTTGATTGAAATCACCAACCGATCAATGTTAGACCAGTATTAGAAACCTAAACGTACTGGACAGCCATTTCATTCTCGTGTGAGACCTATCAGCATTACACATCCATGTCCACCCAAGGACCTTCAGCCTCACGTTCGAATACCTAACCTTTTACTGGATTTTAGCTTGATGACTTTCATTATCTCATGGATCACATAAAATCTTCAAAGAACTGGAATAACTAGCTAATCTTTAATCTCTATTCCGGGCATTTTACATATTCGCTTCAGTACACTACTCACTTTTGGAATTATATTCCTAATTCTTTCTTCTGTACTGACCCCAGAGACTTGATTACTCAGTAGGCGATTGATAGTAAAGATTCACATATGAAGTGGTGCCTAATCTATTGTTTTTCTCACACACAGGATCTTACAGTGTTTAATACTCTTCAAGAACTGTAATGTTACCATTATTTAAGGCAAGAAACCTTTATAGATTTTGTAAATCTTAGCTTAATTCAACTGGGAAAAATAAATATGACTACAGTTTTTTTTTAGTACAACATGATGAAAACCTGTTGTTATTTTTCCAAAATAATTATATTCGACATTTCCATAATTCACATAAATGTATGGTATATATATTCAAACAAATACATACAAATCTCATTGTGATAACTGATAGACTATCAAATATTTAGGATAAGAAATAACCCTGAACTTTTATGCATAGTTTTGATCATTGGATTATAAGAAAAAGAATAATCATAATTTATAATACACCGAGAATGAATAATACTGATAAAATAAATTACAAGTAGGATATTATGATTAACTAAATTTTAAGATATATTATTTTTACTTCAAATAAATGTTGACTCACCATCAATTATAAACACAATATATGTAGTGTTATTGTTATACATCCCAGTTCTTTCGCATTCTTTGAATAAATATATTTCTTTAAATATACGTTTAGAATGACTATGGGAATTATTATCTTTCAATTAGAATTGTAAAGATTAGTGTTTGTTGCACAT